GGCTCAGTTCCTGCTTTCTCTTTCAGTGCCTGCAGCCACAGCCCTGGGTGGGCAGGGGCCCCACCAGGTGAGAGGCCTTGCCCTGGCTCAGGGCTGTGGGGGGCGGGTGACCCACCATTTGGGGGTATCAGGCTGGAGGAGGGTGAGAGATAGGGTTGGAGGCACTGGTGTGGGGTGTGAGGGATGGCTGGAGGGGTGTGTGTCTGTCTTGCTCTCCCAGCTTTCCCAGTGGGCCTGGGCTAGCCATGAATGCAGGGGCGGGCTCATTTGCCATGAGCTGTGTCCTGTTGGCTCTGTTAGATCAACCCTTCCTTCAGCCCAGGCCCAATCCTCTCCCCCTGCATTCGGCACAGACCACATTGTTACACCCAGTAGTGTAGGCATCACCTGCACCTGGCTTCCTCAGCCCTGGGGAATTGCTTTGGAGCAGGTGCCTAACTTGGGGTGGGCATGTGGGGCCTCTGTGGGTGGGGTGGACAGTCTGTCACAGATCCCCCTCCCTCAGTTGTACCTGTGGGATATTTTCATCCATGACCTGGACGTAATTAGAAACTCCCATGAACCCATGAAGTGAGGGGCAACAGTGAACTTGCAGAGACTGGCAACTGATTGGTAAATCACTGTGGGTACGTCTCCACTAGGTCGAAATAAGATACACCATTTGAGCCACGCAAATTGCGTATCTTATTTCAATTTTATTTCAAAATAGATTCTTTTGTCCTTTGGTGTTGTCTGCATAGCACCAATTTCGAAATAACCCATTCTCCGAAACATCCCTCAGTCCTCATGGAACGAGGGTCACAGGGACATTGGAATAGCAAGCCTGTTACAGTTTGAAATAATGGGCTCACTGTTAAGATGCAGGATAGCTATTCTGGGATCCCGCTGCAGTGTAGACGTAGCCTGTGAGGCCAGGGCAGTCGTATGGGGAGGTGCATGTCAAACCTGGGAGCCAACGAGCACAGCCCGGACCTGGGGACCAAGGGAGCCAGGCCAGGGCTGCAGCATGTCCCCCTGTGCCCACCAGGCAGTCTGGTTCCTGCCTGGCTGGCCGGCTGGCTATGGCATGTCAGTCAGGCACAGGCCATGTTGCAGAGCCAGGCAGTTTCAGGGAGCTGCTTTAGTACACTAGGCGTGACGGGCTCCGCACAGTGCTAGCTGGCTGGGGTTACGCAGGGGACTGGACTAGGTGCTTTAATGATCCCTTGTAACCGAGCGAGCGAGCGCCACCAGAATTGCACCCCACATTCCACTGCTCCGGGTGCTGGGTTTCTTTCTGCCCTCCGGGGTGGCATGACGGCGTTTGTGCTTTGCTTGGGTGGTCCCACAGCCCAGCGATGTGCTTCTCTAGCAGTTCTGGTGCAGCATGGCACTACGCTGACAGCTGTGAGTGCTCGGAAGGGCCACGTCATTGCCTCTGAGGGTTGCTTGGGACAGAGGCAGGGGCCTGTCTGGCTGGAGGCTGGTGTCTGGGCCTGAGCGAACCAGGCCATCTCTCCTCCCCTACTCTTTCTTCAGCTGCTCCAAGGGCTGTAGGCAGGGGACTGGGCACCAAGTGAGTGATTCCCAAGCACCAGGGGTGGGACTGTAAGAAGGATTTCCCACCGCTTTCTGTTTCAGGGGGAGGAGCTGAGTCTTGACCAGGGACATCACCTGGGATCCCCATGAAGTTCAGTGACTTTCAACTTAATCTAAGTAAGTGCATAGGCTCTGGAGCCGCAGGAAACAAGGGGGGTTGGAGAGTCACAGAGCATCAATCCTAACTGTAATAGCTCCACCCATCCCTTCCTTCCTTCCTCTCTCCTTCATCCATCCCTCCCTCCTTCCTCTTGTCCTCCCTCCCTCCCTGCTTTCCTCCCCCCCCCATAACTCATGTGGGATGTGACGAAGGGGGGATTTTATTCCTCTTGTTAAGTTGCACGTGAGTTCTACAGTTTCCTAGTAACTGCATGTGAGTGCCTCAGTTTCCCTGGCCACTGCACCAACACCTAGATCAGTGGTCTCTAACCTTTTTATACCCAAGATCACTTTTTAAGTCTCAGAACAGGCGAAGATCTACTGCCCCGCCCCTTCCTTGAAGCCCCGCCTACATTACATGAGGAAATCTAATGTAAATGTACTGCGTAGGTGTGCAGTTCAGAGAGGGCTCAAGAGCTACTCTTAGAGCCCCTGAGATCTACTAGTAGATCGTGATCTACTGGTTGGTGACCATGGACCTAGATGGTGATGGGAATTTTGGGTGTGTCTTTACTAAGGGAGCCCTGGAACATACACATTGGCTGATGCCCTGTGCAACCTGAGCCTGGGAGGGGGTTTTACCAGGTGACACTTTTTGCCAGGGAAGCAGGGCAAAGTCCAGAGGAGGGATCTGGCTGGAGGCTGGGACCAGGCTGCTGGGGGTAAGTCAGTCTATCCCAGGATGGATGGTGCTGGCTGCTTCTGGTTCTTGTGCTGACAAGTCTGTGCTACCCTGTGTCCCTGTAGCCTGATAAACCTTCTCTTCTACCTGCCGGCTGAGTCTCACGTCTGGCTGTGGATGGGGGTGCAGGGCCTGGGGACTCCCCAGATCTGGTGACAAGAGGCATTTCGCCCCCTCCACTCAGGGCCCAGCAGCAGAACGGCTCCCACAGCCAGGGCTGTTCGCCACCCACCTTTCCCCATGCACGCAGCTCCCAGACAAGCCAAACCCATTGCAGGCCATGAGCACAACACGCTCTGCTGACCGCACATCTTTGCACAATCGCCTAACGGGCGGACGTGGTTCGGGGCGGGGTTTGTGGCTCTGCTGCAACTTCTGAGTGTGAAACACAAGGCAGAGTCCTGCTGTAGTCAGCTCTGCCAGTGCCCCTCACTCCCAATCCACAGCCCCTGCCCCATCTAGAGGGGCTGCAGGAAACAGGGGTTGGAGATTCACAGAGCATCAATCCTAGCCATAATGGTGCTGCTCCATCCATCCCTCTGTCTGTCTGTCCATCCATCCTGCCATCAGTCCACCCACCTGTCCATCCCTCCATCCATCCCACCCTCCATGGAGGCCCAAGGAGCAGTCTGGGATCTGGCTCCTGGTTCTCTGGTGCCTAGGTGGATGTGAGTGCCTCCTTCTCCCCTGCTCCCAGGCTATTCTCAGGGACCCAGGTCCAGCCCAGGAGACGTTCCATTCCCAGAGCTCAAGTGCCAGTAAAACCCAGCCCAGGCGGGATGTGACAAAGGGGGAATTTTATTCTCTTTGTTATGTTGCATATGATTTCTACTGTCCTATTGTAATTCCATGTGAGTGCCTCAGTTTCCCTGGGCACTGCACCAGTACCTAGCTGGTGATGGGAATTTGGGTGTGGCAGCCTCCCCCACGGACACAATGGCTGATGCCCTTTGTAACCTGAGCCCAGGAGGGTGTGTGTGACCAGGTGGCACCTTTTTCCCCCAGGAAGCAGAGCAAAAGCCAGAGGAGGGGCCTGGCTATGATCTAGTCTAATGGTTGGGGGGGCAGGTCCAGCACCCTGTCTCTGGCCCCATTCCCCCAGGACGGATGATGCTGGCTGCTTCTGGTTTCTGTGCTGACAAGTCTGCTCCACACTGTGTCCCTGTCACCTGATAAACCTTCTCTTCTACCTGCCGGCTGAGAGTTACGTCTGGCTGCGGATGGGGGTTCCAAACTGTGGTGACAAAAGGCACTTCCTCCCTTCCCCACAGGACCCAGCATCAGAATGGCTCCCACGGCCAGGGCTATTTGCCACCCACCTCGCACATCTTTGCATAATCGCCCGACAGACATGTGGTTTGGGGCAGGGTTTGCTGTAGTCAGCTCTGCTGGTGCCCCTCGCTCCCCACCTGCAGCCCCTGCCAGCCCAGCCCTGGTCTCCCCCAGCCCTACCGGTGCCCCTCACTCCCCACCTGCAGCCCCTGCCCGCCCAGCCCTGGGCTCCCCCAGCCCTACCAGTGCCCCTCACTCCCCATCTGCAGCCCCTGCCAGCCCAGCCCTGGGCTCGCCCAGCCCTGCCGGTGCCCCTCACTAGAGTTCGCCTTCCCGCTTTCTGGCGGGTGAGAACTGGATGATAGCCAAGGTAAGATAATTCCTTCATGCGTCTTGTCTGCACAAACGCTGACCTGTTTTTTCCTCTTGGGTTCCTTTCCCTGAGTGAGGCGCCCTTCTTGCTGCCCACAAGCTGTGGCTGCTGAGTCACTGCAGGGGAGGGAGCGCAGCTTGGCATGACTCTGCAGCCCCCACGGCCTTTGGAGCAATGTGGGTCAGGTTTGCACCAGCCAGAGGCCAGCACTTGGGGCTGCCAAACACCTAATGAACTGCCTGGCTGTTCCCTCACCCCATGTACAGCACCCCCATGCAGGGGAAGGATGCATTTTACTGGGCTTAGAGGCCCTAGCAGGTCCAGGCTGCAAAGTGTGGTATGTGTGTGGTAGGGGGAGTCTGTGTTACAGGTTTGTATTGGGCCTGAAAATAGGTGTTTTTGTCCTGCCCCCACGGGCTGGGAAATGTGACTGCGTCTTAAAATAGCTCTGTTAACAACAGCTGTTCTGTTCTTCCTGGGCAGATTGATTTAAATCTCTGTGAGTCAAACCAGCAAGCAGGAAATCTTGTTTAGTCATCTTTTGCCTTTTTACTTAATTATGTTCCTGAAGAGTGGTCAGTTCTCATTGGATGTATAATCTGGTCTGTTTGCTGGCTATGAGGATACACTTCACAGGAGGTTAAGTCATTTTGCAGCATAACAGAACCCTAAGCCAGAGTCCTTCTCTGAACATTTGTTGTTCTGGTAGAAAATAGGGATTGACACATCTCCTAGTTATGAGATGAGGAACCTTTTACTGGTGATTTGGTGTGCCAGGTTGCCTTTGGAGGACAATTGAAACTCCATTTCCTAATGCACAAAACCAACATTTTCAATTATCTGGGGAGGGGGTGGTAAATCAAACTATTTTACATGTCATGAGTACATGAGGAAGTATATAAAAATCTGTTCCACATTTTAAATAACTGAATTTATTAAACAAAGGAACTATTCGCGTCTGCAGTTCAGTGAATTGAATTTATTATTTCTGGTCTCCTCACCGTTCATGATTTTAGAACTAATTGATCTCATCCTCACACTTAGTCTTTACTCAGCGATTGGAAGTGGAAAAACAAGCTTTCCTGCTTTTTCAGATCCCAGTCCATGTCACAACTGTGCTCCAAAGTTCTTGAATACACTTCAGTGAAGACTATATTTTCTCTGCATTTTTTGAAGAATCAGCTGTCTTCAAACATCAGCAAACTCTGGTTCCAGGTGCTTAGCCGCGACATCCCCCCATTCAGTGGCTTCATGTGCAGCTTGAATGTTGCCCTTGTTTACCTGAATAGTTCACAAATATTCAGAGTGCTGGTGATTGTTTCCATTATAGGGTGTGTCTAGGCTCCATGGCTCCATAGACAGAGCCATGTAGTCTAGACACACCCATAGACAGAAAGTAATAATGGACTCAAGTGATCCTGTTTAGCTACAAAGAACCACAGGTGTTGGCTTCTAATTTTCCCAGGGATGCTCAAATCCTGCTCAGCCCCCACTCCTGCTCCCACCCCATCCCATCCCATTCCACTTCTTTCTGCCCTCTTCCCTGAGTACGCCCCGTCCCTGTTTGTCCCGTCTCTCCCAGTGCCACCTCACACCTTAGAACAGGTGCTCAGAAGGTACTGTGAGGGTATGGAGGAGGTGATTGGCAGGGGCCTTTGGTGGGCAGAAGTGGGGAGCTGGCTGTTGATGGTGGCTGCTAATTTTTCTCCCTGGGTGCTCCAGCTCTGGCATCCCTGGAGTCAGGACCTGTGCGAAACACGTACATAAAATCCTGTTTCTCTGAAGGCAGGAGACAGCTTCTCTGCACACATCTCCAAACCTCCTTCTAGCCAACGCTCTGCCTAAAAGCTTTCTCTTCACTGTTTCTCAGCCCCTCCCAGCCCAGCCCTGGGCTCCCCCAGCCCTGCTGGTGCCCCTCACTCCCGACCTGCAGCCTGAGCTACCCCAGCCCTGGGATCCCCCAGTCCTGCTGGTGCCCCTCACTCCTGACCTGCAGCCTGAGCTACCCAAGCCCTGGGATCCCCCAGCCCTGCTGGTGCCCCTCACTCCTGACCCACAGCCCCTGCCGGCCCCAGGTCCTCCTTGCAGCACTGCTCTGTGCGGGGTGGGTTTCTGGGTTCCAAGTCCAGACAGGTCCATTGTGATCCTCTTGCCTTCGACATACCCCAGAACTCCTATGTCGGCACTGAAACTGGAGGCTGGGTTTTTGGCAGAACTGAGCCCTGGTTGGTCTCCCCCCTCAGCGGGGAGCTCCTGAGCAGGAAGATGCCGCTGTACATGTTGAGGCTCAGCCCCATGAGTGCCACTTCTTGGCCTGTCTCTCACGACCAGGGTTTCTCTGGAGACACGTCTGCTTTTCTGCCAGGGCTCTTGCTGGTAGCAGGACCTTTCCCCGTGCCTGTCTGCCATCATTGCCTCCAGCGCAGAGTGTGGGGAAGGGCTGAGTGGTATGGCCAAGGGTTTGCCCAGCACTGGGCCCCCTGCTTTGGGCTCTGCAGCACAGGGACCACGTGGCCCTGTGGAGCCTGCGGCAGCTGCTTACCCCTCAGCCAGGGGAAAACAGAGGGACGATTAATGAGCAGGAAGAACCTGTAGTGCAGATTGAGTGTGCCAGGGCAGCTGCTGGTTCTGCCATGGTGCTGCCACTGCTGGGTCTGTCAGGATCTCCGTTGTAAACACCAGCTTGAGCCATTGGGCTCTCTCGCCCCAGGAGGTTGCCATGACAATGAGCCTTTTCTGCCCCTGCTGGCATTTTCTGGAGGCGGGGCGGGGAGAGGTCTGGCAACTGAACATTTGACAAGTTCCCCTCCAAGAGTCATGGTTCCACCCAAAAGCCATTCTCCTCAGGAAAAGTGTTTTCTACCCTCTCTGCGACCTGGTCCGGACCTTTAGCCACCCAGAAAAGACAGAACAAGAGGCAAATGGCTGCTATTCTGAGAATTGTCTTGCCCTTATCCGATGCCACTTCAATTCTGCAGGGGTTTTCCCAGTCCTGCTTGCACACGTGAGGGTCTAAAACTGGTCAGTCTACAGGGCTGTGTCTACACTGGCCACTTATTCCGGAAAATCAGCCGCTTTTCCGGAATAACTTGCCAGCTGTCCACACTGGCCCCTTGAATTTCTGGAAAAGCACTGACGATCTACTGTAAAATCATCAGTGCTTTTCCGGAAAAACTATGCTGCTCCCATTCGGGCAAAAGTCCTTTTCCGGAAAACTGTTCCAGAAAAGGGCCAGTGTAGACAGCACAGATTTCTTTTCCGCAAAAAAGCCCCGATCGCGAAAATGACGATCGGGGCT